TGCACACCTTCACAGGCTGTGATAATAGTCTTGTCAGTTAACGTCAGTGTGGTATAAACTTATTTAACATTTTTTTGGTTTGTTTTGTCGTTTCCTTTTTTAAACACTGATTTCCAGAGTTTATTTACAGGAACTAATTTTAAATGGACTTGTGATCCTTTAAAGAAGGGCTACCATTTCCACAATCTGTTCTTGTGCAGAACAAAGTGGGTGACTACTTTAGCTGACCACCACACAGCTTTACCTGTATGCTGAGGAACGACGGCACACTCAGGACAGATCCAGTCTCCTTCAGGGCCGATGTTTAATGATGGGGTCAAGCAGTCCATGTGATAGCTGGAACAATAAGTACAACCAGAGATCTGCGATTAAATACCTTTTAACCGGTATTTCCAGCAGCTGCAACACAGTATGTAGGTGTTTGAGTGATATTAAACATTAGTTTAAAAATAGTCAAAGTGAGTCGAGTACAATTCACTATTGTACTCAAAATAATGCTACTGCTCTGAGTACAATGAACACTGGTATGTTCTGATCATTAAAGACCACATTAGGAGCATCTGAGAGTGGAATCATGACCAGATGTGTAACTTCAAAGTGCCCTGTAACTCCGTACCCTGAATCACACTGTGTGCACACTAGCAGTCGGTGTCTGCGGTCACTGCGTCCACATTCCTCGCAGATAAACGCGTTGCTCTCCTCCTCTTCATCGCCATCATCAGTCGTCTTTTTCTGCGTCCTCACTTTGATCTGCAACAGCACAAACAGTTCAGCTTCTCGACACTGTCCACATATTTCTAAATACTCAGATAGAAAGCTTCCACAGCAAATAATCACCTTCTTTTCAATGTCCCCTCCAGGACACCGTCTCTGGTGGATGAAAGCAAAACTGATCCGATCCACTGGGCAAGTGTTGGCTGTCTGAGGAACAAAATGTTTCAAGAAAAACAATTGTCCTTTTTTTGTCTTTTTATGTGATCCAGATCCTGAATATGAGATACTGTAATTGAATGTATCCCAGTGGAGGCTCATGCATCTCACTCCAAGTAAGGATTATTTTCATTGTCACATTATTTGCTGGTTTTTTTTGATGAATTCATTAATCGTTATGCCTATAAAATTTTAGAAAATTGCAAAACATTAGCTTCACATAGCTTCAACACCCCAGGGCGGCATTTAAAGATGACTTATGTCTACTGTAAACTGCAAATATATTACATTAACAATGATATAAAACAGAGAAAATCTGAAAATGTTCAAATCTGAGAAGCAATTTTGCTTGATAAAAGACTGAAGAGACAATCTATTAGTATAAAAAAGCTGAATAACTGTCAAAAGACTCACAATTCAGCTCTCATCTGAAATGCATTTTAAGATTTTAAATGATATTCTGTCATGTGTCTTTACATATTTAGCTCAAAACAAAGATCCATTAAAGATGGACAATTACACTTTTCTGTTTTAAAAACACAAATTAACTTCCAGATATTGATTGAAACTATTAGTATAGACAGTTATTGAATAAAAAATGACAGTATTTGACATATTGCCAGGTGGAGTGTAGGTTTACCTGGGACCATTGGAGAATACATTCAAGGCAAAAGACATGCTGACAGCTCTCCAGAGAGGCCACTGCTTGCTCGTCAAAGGGACTCAGGCAGATAGAACATTTATCTGAGTGTGGCATGAAATCTGCTGTGGACTCATCCATATCTGTAATATTAAGTTACTTGTCAAGGAAGTATGTGTATATAGGAGGTTTTAAAACAGCTGTTGTGCCACTTAAACAAGAGTATAATCAACAGTGACCATGTGCCACACTGAAGTTATTTACACACAGTTAAAGACACGAGGAGTGTCCAACACGAGGCATAAAACCACTTTATCCTCAGTTTTGTAGCTACGACACGGTCATAAACAAAATGTGATAACGTTACAACTCGACTTCAGGTTGGTGTGTCGCAGTTTTTTGTTTTTTGTTCACATTACAAGCTGTTTCTAGTTAGCTGGCTAACTTAGCTACGTTAACGTGAAGTTACATGCTGTTGCAACGTAACTGAGACTATCGCGAAGCCCTTCAGTCAGTGTAGGCAAACATTATTGAGGTTTTAGCTACGGGTGTTACAGCATATTTCATATAAAGCCATTATAATTAGTATCTCAACTAAAACTGCTGCTTTTAATTTTGTTCCGCGCTACACGACACACTTCCCCTCTGGGTCCTTCAAAATAAAAGCATCAAATTCACTTGCACAACACTTTTTGCTTAAAATAAAAATGAATTTGTGAAAACAGTATCTAAAATATTACTACAAACTACAAAATCTGGATTATCAACAAGGTACTTTATTTTTCGGTGTGATTTTTGTGTGTTTTATGCACACAGGACACATTCCTCCTAGGTAATAAACCTAATTCTGATTCTGATTCTGGTAAATTTAATAAACTAAAGCACAATATCAGCTCTTATGACAAGGTCCTGCTTTATTATCTGATCTTGAGGCCTTGTCTCTTGGAGGATATGTATCACAATCTAGTTTTCATTATTTTAGCTCATACATCATGCACATTATTAAGATATTTTGCGTACGCACAAGTTTTATCTTGTTTGCACAAGATTTGGATTCTGTGCACACAAAGTAAATGTAATATCTAATATAGTATCCATATCTTGCATGAAAATCCCTTAGTTTAAGATATACTCTTAACTAATACAAATACTTCATTTAGCTCTGCACGCCCATGACTTAGAAACTGCGTAACCTTGTAAATAAGAACCTCAAACATGTAAGGCCTTATATATAAGAGAAATGTGAAGTATGGTTGACCTCTATGGGCATTTTGTGTGATTATAACGAACTAAAAACAGAAATTATAAGAACACTCATCAAAAAGATAATGTAAAATGCTGGAAATGTGGGGGCGGTGTGAGTACATGCCCCAAAATGATTAGAGTTGTGTTCTGTCCAAACCTTTATTTATAGAGAGGCTTTTTTTAATCTATTTTTTTGCAATCTTTGAAGGTCTGGACCCAGATGGCAAAAACTCTTCTAATGAACTGGAGAGCCTCTTTTTCAGGATTGGGTGACAGAGGTAGGAAACATTGATGCATATATATTGTCATATAGGATGTGTAACAGAAAAACATTTCTTCAATAAGGGCACATTTATTTCTATTATAAATTATGTTAATATTAATATTAATCTCCATATTTTACATATTTCAGAGACAGCCTTTTAGTAATTTGGTTGATTGCTTTTGTGTTTTGGTGGTACGGGAATGAGGAAGTTATGTGTTTGTTTTCAGATACATTTTTACTGTTACATTTAAAAGTTTTCAATGAATATAATCATTATTTATCTTTAATATACTGCACTGGGGTGGGTGATAAAAGAAGTCATGCTATGCACCTCCCTCAACTCTCCACCTACAGTTCACTGAAACAGGAAATTAAGAGGCTTGAAAAAAGAGCAGCGTGTTATATACTCACTGTTTTCTGAGAGGAGCAACAAAACACTGCTTTTATCTCACGAGTGTTCGAGATGCAGTGTAGCTTTCTGCATTTGGAGATCAGGGAAAGGAGTCTCTAAGCAACCTGGTAAGTGTGTTTTTTCTCCCAAAATGATTGTCTGTTGTTTTTTTAACTTTAACTATATTTAATCTAGTTTTAGATTCTGTTAAGAATTTACATATAGAAATCTAATATTTCTGAAAGCTGTAATTCCTCAAAATGGGGTGAAAACGCTTCAACATCGTACAGCTGATTTAGTGCTCAGGATTCAAGTATGTTCATCAAGTAAATCATGTGACACATTTCATGTCTCAACAACGCTAGTGAAAGTGTGGCTTTCATTGTCAGTTACTTCCAGTTTAGTGGTCTTTTTTGTTTTTTTAGATGAATGTTAAGTGGTGATTATACATGTGAGTACACGTATCGTATTAAGTGTAGAATTGTCCACACTAGCTTTTCCCCTTTGTTTCCATAAACCTGAACAAAACAGAATAATGTAGTCAGCTTCTGGAACAAAAATAATATATTAAAAGCAGAATAAAAAAGACTGAAAATGTTTTTAACTGAGTACAAGATTTGTTTCCAAGGTAATGTTAAAGTAAAAGTGGAAAAACTCTGAATGGAAACATGTTTGTGTTGCTACAGTCACAGAAACCCTCCTGCAACGCAGCAGCGTTTATGAGAATCAACCTACGCCGTCTGACTTTGATTTAACTACACTGACAAAACACTCAAACCTGCAATGACAGACCTCAACTGCAGTGCCCATTCAGAAGAGTACCAGTACTACCTCTTCCCAGCGGTCTACATCCTAGCTTTAGTTGTAGGTTTACCAGGAAATCTGGCTGCCCTCTTCGCCTTCACCTTCAGGACCAGACCTCGCACGGCCTTCAGTGTGTACATCAGCAATCTGGCTGTGTCAGACATCGTCATCCTCTGCACTCTACCCTTTAGGATCGACTATCACCTCAGAGGAAACAACTGGGTCTTTGAGGATGTCGCCTGCCGTATCACCGGGATTCTGTACTTCGCCAACATCTACATGAGCATCTGTTTTATGACTTGCATCTGTGTGGATCGCTACATGGCCACCGTATATCCACACACCTATCTGAGGATGCGGAGCCCCTGGTGCTCTGTGGTGGTGAGTGTGGTGCTGTGGTGTGCTGTTGGAGTGGCTATGCTGGTCTTTATCCTCATGGGACCTCTGAAAACCAATGCAGACAAACCTGGGAGCTGCTTTGAGAATTTCAACCAGACTGAGTGGAAGACGCGTTTGGGGACATACAGCCTCCTGTGCCTGACTTTTGGCTCCCTGCTGCCTTCACTGATCATCCTGGTGTGTTACCCTGTAGCTGCGAGGCGCATTTCAATGATTAAGACTAAAACAGCCCAAAAGGCAGTGAGGGTCATTTACACCATCCTGGCTATAATGCTGTTCTGCTTCCTGCCCAACCATATAGTGTACCTGCTTCACCTCCTCGTACGCTTGAAAATAATCCAGAACTGCTCCGCTATGATCGCCATATACCACGCCAGGCGGGTCACCATGGCACTCGTCATCCTCAACACATGCCTGGACCCCGTGCTGTACTTTGTCACCACCAGCCACTGCAAATGGAAGCGCTTAAAGATGGCATGGCTGTGGCGGAAAATCAGGAGGCACAAGGGTGTTTATAACGTCACAGTAGACCAAGAGGGTTAACAGCACGTTTACTAATATAGCTCTGTATATGCTTTATTGTCATTGAAAATGTAACTTCTGTATTGCAAAAAAGTGACTTTTCTATAAACATGTTTATTCAAATTGGCTTTGTACATCAAAATAAAGGGAGAAATCAGATTTTGAGTGTCTTATTTTTCTTGCGCTTTATAAATGAGTCCATGAGATGCCGGCAACGTCACCAAAAAAGAATGGGCCAATCGGGGCAGAAGCCTGGATACATTTAGGAAAACTGAATCATTTAAGGATCAATATCCCAACAATACATGGAGAAAAAAAATGCTGTTAAACTTCACAGGTAAGAATATCAAATTCTCTGCACTGGGAAGTAGTTTTCATCCTCCACAAATCCAGATCCAGGAGTTCTTTTTTTAGTGAGAATTTCCCTTCAGATGTTCCCATTTTGGGACTAAAGATGTTTCAGCACAGTCCAGACGGAAGCCCTTTTTTCAGTAGAGTTGAAAGGAAACTCCCCAAGTCCTCATCCTGACAAAGAAAACCAGAACATAACATCAAAAAGAAGCAATGTAACAAATGACACAGCACAAATAATACTATATATATAATATATAACTGCAGAGGACTGAAAGCAGAGTTCAGTTCTGTGTTTATCAAAGTAGTTCCCCAATTTCTTACAAATGAAGAAGCTGCTACTTTCGACCCCTTGTTTTTTTGCATATGTCAGGGCGATTGTTTTGCTTGAATTATTTTTGTAATATTTGACAAAAAAAGTATGCAAATTATTATTTAATAGATCCTATTAGTCATTTCCATTTCAACTTGTGACCCCAGAATGGTAATTACTGATATATTGCATATTACAGTGAATTAAAGCTGCAACTAACATTATCCTTTAATCTACAAATTATTAATAATTATTCTTGATTAATTGCAGTGATAAATAGACCGTACTTGTACAGCGCCTTTCTTCCGACCACTCAAAGCGCTTTTACAATACATGCCACATTCACCCATTCACACACATCCATACAGTGATGGAAAATGCTCATCACAAACAGAAACACACACACATTTGTGGTTCAGTATCTTGCTCAAGGACACTTCGATACAGTATATGTGTGGTCTATAATGTCTGAAAACTGTGAAAATGCTTGTGATGATTTCAGTCCAATCTTCAGGCTGCTTGTTTTTCAACGGTTCAAATTTTATATATATTCAGTGCACAATGATATAAAAGACAGAAAAGCAGAACATTATTATATTCGAGAAGCTGAAATCATATCACTCTAATCCTTACAGTATTGCATTGCATTTCACTGCACATTTTGCTTGCGTGTGATAAACAAATAAACCTTTGAATCCTTGACAATTGATAATCTTACAAATGTGTTTAGTGAGCTTCCCGTCAAAAACTAAAGTATAGTGAACTTGGATTTAAGTTTTGTGGCAATCAAAACACTTTATGAAGAGAAGTTCAGATGGAAAAGATGTAACAAGAGGCAAAAATAGACATATCTTTGGTTGTCTTGCTCTTGAGCACGGAACACATTAAGCCACATAAACCACCCTCCTTCCATTGCGCAGTGAGAGCAACAGAAAGGTTACACTCTCTACTCTCATCTGATTGTCACTTTCAAAGCCCCCTTCTCTTAGACTGTCCACCCACACAAATGCTTTCACTTCTATGGCTCATCAAACCTCGGTACTGTGTGGGCATGTAAAAACTGACACCCCCCCGAGTGGTGCGGTCCAACTGGATTTCACCAAACAATGTACTCGCGTGCTGTGGCGAAAAGGTTCTGAGACAGGAAAGCCTGTGGGCAGGGTTTGAATCATTATACAAGATGTACAATAAACAGCTTCTACTTCATCATCGCTCCTTCTCTGCTGCTTGATTTATTTAAGGACATTTGAACTGTCTCTGCAGAAACCAAAGTCAATACAACTTTATGATTTTTGGGGAAACACATTTTTGAATCAGTGATGATTCTGTGAGCTGCAACAATTTCTGTAGTAAAAAATAAACTCTGATGTCTCTTAATAATAAAGATAATGCAACGAATAAGGGAGACAGGACTACAACTTTTACTTTGAACACAATCATAGCCGGATATCACTCAACTATCATGCAGGATATATCAAATTAATTAAAATCTATTATAGGCTTTATTTATCTATGACAGCAGAGCAAATAATATTTGAGTTCATATTGTTATGGTGTATTTGGGTGGTAATGCAGAAATACATTTTCTTCCACTTGTAAGAAACATAAAGCAAAAGATTACATGTTCTAAATGAAGGTGTGTGACCACAGCCCACGGTGGGTTTTTTACATCATTGCTTTGTGCACAATACTGCACAATACAAGCAGGATGCACCAAGTCCCACATTTAGAAATTTCATCTGCATATATGTTTATTCTTTAAACCATGCGACTACTTTGACAATGTTTACTTACGTTACAATGTAAAAAGGATTTTGGTAATCATTTTTTGCATATACAGTCTTGGTGACAGGTTACCTGCATTGTTTTGCCTATACAAATATCCTATATAAATAATAAACCCAGACGATTATTTATGCGCACAGTTTTGAGCCCTACAGAAGATAGTACAGATACAATCTGCAACTGTGTTTGTCATTTTCCAGGAAATGAGTCATCAGATGGACCTGTGGTCACTGATCTTGTGGTGTGATAATCACTTCTAAAACCAAAGATATTCTTATTGACCTCAGAAAAGCATCACAACCACTTTCTCAGATAATGGTTGACAGAGGAACGGTGGAAACTATGGAGAGCTATAAGTACCTTGTTGTAGTATCTTACTGCTTGTGGCCCTTTCGATAACTTTCTAAGCTCAGATCTCACCACAATACCGAAACAGCTCTTGGGTTGAATTGTCAATGACAAAGTACAAACATAAGAAAATGACCAGGTGTCCATTCTTATGCTTCTAGATCTCAGAGCTGCATTCAACAGTGTTCATCATACATTTCTTATTAGAAAGATTGGAAACAAGGGAGCTACTATGTGTGCGTAAGAAAATTTGTTTCCAAAACAGTCAATACATCATGTGGAATTCCACAGGGATCAATTCAAGGCCTCCCTACCCCTCAGACACATAATACATACAAACTAAATTCATTACCACAGTTATGGATAATACACAACTATATATCTCCTTGTCCATGAATGATCAACATAGTTATATGATGTATTGCGGATAAACACCAGTGGGTAAGTCACAAGTTAAAGCTAAAGCGCTGTGATGTTCCAGTGCTAAAGCGAAGGGACAAAAAATTAGGCCTCATCTTGATTCCTTATCTATTAAAACAAAAGCAAGAACCTTGGTGTCTTTATCAATTTCAACCTCAGTGTCCACAAAAATATAATCTCATATATCCCAAAAACAAGAGGCTGCCAATAAAAAACAGACCCAGAGAGACACACTTTTATAACCTGTAATAATGAATATTGTAATGGCCTTCTCTCTGGCCTGCCACAGAAAACTGTGGGACAGTTCAATTGTCTTATTGTGTTTTTACTGTGTTTATGTTTTTATGCTTCCTTGCTGCTAGAAATAAATCCTCTTCTTAGGCAATAAAGATCTGAACTGAACTCATAAGTGTAATGTGCAAGACATTTAAAAGGCCATTTAGATGCTGCTGTAGAATTTAAATTAGTGAAGCATGAACAATGAAACTGCTTTACCTGATAACTCCAGGAAAGCAACAGGACCTTGGTGTTGGGGTCTTCAGTGGAGGAGGAGACTTTGATGACTATAGACTCCACCATGACTGTGCCATCAGGGAGGTGCTGGATGGTGTAACCTTTTAACACACTGAAGCATAGAAATGCAAAAGCAAGGCATATAACACGTTATCTTAAATGTCAGAAATGAAATGTGATATAGAAATATGATTCAATACAGCAATAAAAGAGCGCAAAATTCTGACAAAATGACACAGACTGTATACACTTGAGTATATTACAAATATACTATAATAACGCAGATATGTAAGTAGACGAAGGATGCCCATTAACCCTCCTCTTCCTGTAGTGCTACCTCACCTCTTGAGGTGTGTGTAGATTCTGTGAAGTGTGTCGGTGTCGCTGTGCGGGTCCTGGAGCTGCACGCGGCAGGTGAAGCGTAACTGATGTTCGTTGAGGCCCAGCTCCTTCAGGGCCTGCTCCGACGACACCAGCTTTAGACTCTGTGTTCGAGGGGAAAAGACAAGAAGGAGGTCAATCATGAACTGTCGACCAACAAAATCCCACTAGTGTGTGTTAACACTGGACTTACATTTTCTTTCATGATCAGGGTTCCATGCATGGTGCGAGGTTTTTTGGGATCAGGAAGAGGCCCTTTAATACAAGAATGGATTATAACATAAATAAATGCAATTTCCCAGCTTGGGATCAATAAAGTCTATCTATCTATCTAACTATCTAAATAAACAAGAAAATATTAAATAAAAAAACAGGTGATTTGCGTACAGGTGATGCTGAAGTGCTGCTGAGTTGTCCCTACCAATACAGAGCTCAAATAATCTCATTTTAACTGCACATTAACACACACACACACATTAAGGGCCGCCCACACTAACAACAATAATTACAACTATAACGATGTGAGCATTCACACACGGATGAACAATAAAGTTGTGCCGGCCGCTGTTGACCTGTTACGGCTGTATGTTGCACAGAGAAAAAAATAAGAAACCTAGAAGGATATGGGTTCACGAAGTTCCTCAAAGACGAGAGGACTTAGGAGAACGTAACAATGAGAGTAGTCTCCCATTAAAGGCCATCATTAAGGACATTAAGGACTAAAAATCATTAGTGTTTGGTAGTATGTCTCAGGTAAAATTATGTTTTTTATGTATGATTAACTAAAATGACATTTAATAAGTTGTATTCCACAATATCATTCATCAAATCACTCTGAAAGTGATTGAAAGTGCAATATTGTTCTCCACTGTTGTTGTTGTTGTTACAGTTGTGGTATGGAGCATCCACTTTAAAAAGATGTAGTTACAGTTATTCTAATTATATACTAATAACAATATATTTATAGTTATCATTCTTGGTGTGGACAGCCCTTTAAGGTCTAAGTGTGACAGTTTGACATATGGGGAATACCTGACCTTATGATTAG